GTTAATCCACTCGTGTATTGATGGGCACTTGGGTTGATTCCACATCTTTGCGATTGTGAATTGTGCTGCTATGAACACTTGGAAGTGCAGAATGTGTTTTGATAAAACGACTTCTTTTCCTGCGGGTAGGTGCCCAGTAGTAGTATTACTAGATTGAATGGTAGGTTGACTTTTAGTTCTTTGAGGAATCTCCATACTGTTTTCCATAAGGCTTGTACTAATTTGCAGTCCCTCCAACAGAGTATAAGCGTTCATAAGCGTTCCTTTCTCTCTGCATCCACACCAGCATCTGTTGTTTTTGGACATTTTAATAAAAGCCACTCTAACTAGGGTATGGTGATATCTAATTGCAGTTTTAATTTGCATTTCCCTGATAATCAGTGCAATTAAGCATTTTTTCATATGTTTATTGGCCATTTGTCTATCTTCTTTTGAAAAACTTCTGTTCATGTCTTTGCCCACTTTTTAAATGGGGTTGTTTGAATTTTTTTCTTGCAATTTTCCTGAGTTCTTTGTAGATTCTGATTATCAGTCTTTTATCAGATGTGTAGCTTAGTAGGTAAGTTAGCTTTTATGTCCATTTCTTCAAAATGCCCATTTCCCAAAGTTGTTAGGCGAGGGAAACACAGGCTTGGAGGTGAAGGTAGTGGGCTGTGAGCGGCTCTGATGGGATGAGCCCCAACTCCACCAACGCCGTCCCAAGTCCAACCCCGCCCACAGCACAGGGGAGGCTGGTGAATCTGCTGTTGCTCCATTTTATTTGTTTTATGGGATGTTTGCCCTCCTCTGATGGGGCGCTCAGAGGTTATCTCTGCGATGCTTTTGTTTAAAGAGGAAGCTGTCAATGCAGCTGACCCTACATTTATTTTTATTTCTTCCAACCTTATTCGTCTATTTTAACAGATATGGGATCGTTTCAGAACCATATATTAAAATGGCAAGTGACCTCCAAAGAGGCTGTAGTGACGTTGGAGGGAAGGAAGGAAGGAAGGAAGGAAGGAAGGAAGGAAGGAAGGAAGGAAGGAGAGGGAAGGGAAGGGAAGGGAAGGGAGAAGGAAGGAGGAAGAAGGAAGAGAGGAAGGAAGGAAGGAAGAAGGAAGGAAGGAGGAAGGAAGGAAGGAGGAAGGAAAAGAAGGAAAGGAGGAAAGGAAGGAAGGAAGGAAGAGGAAGAGGAAGGAAAAAGGAAGGAAGAAGGAAAGGAAGGAAGGGGAAGGGAAGGGAAGGGAAGGGAAGGGAAGGAAGGAGGAAGAGGGAAGGAAGGGAAGGAAGGGAAGGAAAGGGAAGGGAAGGAAGGAAGGGAAGGTTTAGGAAGGAAGGAAGGAAGGAAGGAAGGAAGGAAGGAAGGAATCAAGGAAGGAATCAAGGAAGGAATCAAGGAATCTGTTATTTCTCATTACAAACAATAAGGCAATTTAAATGACTCATCAGCTTAAAATCGATGGGCAATCATGAGAACGTCTCCATTCCAGGTTGCCTCAGTTAGTGTGGCGATGATCTGTGAGTAACAGAGCTCGGAGAACAATGGTTCAAATGAGCAAGACTTTAATTCCCTCCCAGTGCGTTTGGAAGCGGAAGTGCCAGGGCGCCCGGCGATGGCTCTCACATCCGGGTTCCTTCTCCCCTTGGCTCCGTCGTGGTGTTGGTCCCCCCCCCCTGCTGCTGGGACAAGGCAAGGCGACTTGGTGGCTATAAAACAAGAGGAGTGTATTCCCTCTTGGTCCTAGGGGCTGCAAGTCTGGAATCAAGGTGTCAGCAGAGCTCGGGGGAAGGGTCCCTCCTGCCGCCTCCAGCCTGTGCTGGCGGTCCCAGTCCTTGCCATGTTCCCTGCCTGTGGAAGGGGCACTCCCCTCTCTGGCTCCACCTTCACACACCGCCCCTGGGCGTCCTTGGGTCAGGGCCCGCCCTCATCCTGTAGGGCCTTACTTCAACCAACAACGTCTGCAAAGACCCTATTTCCAAACAAGGTCCCATCCTGAGCTTCCAGGTCGACACGAATTGTGTTCTCATCAGAGGGGGGTGTATGCAGTGACCAGTGAGGATCATGATTAGCCAGTGGGATGGAGGTAGCGTTTTCTAAATCGATTCTGGGCCTTTATTTCCTAGGGCTCTAAGGGGCCGTGATAAGGTGACCCCGGGGGCAGTAAGGCAGCTGAGCTTGCAAGGGTTTCCGGGGGTCCGGTCATCAGAGCAGTCATAGGTCCTGTCTCAGCCAACGCCGAGGCTGTACGGGTGCTTGCCACGGTCTCCGTGGTCCTCCCCCCTGCTCCCGTCCGTCTGAAGATTTCCGTGTGTCCTCCCCATACTACCGTTCCCTCCTGCAGAAAGCAAAGCTTTGTGAGAGGGAGAGAGAAGTCTGGATGTCAAAGCATCGGGAATACGCAGAGGAGGCAGGGGAAGTCGCTACTCCCCACTGAGAGCTCGGTGGGCGGCACCATGACACCTGCTATTCGGGGGAGACACGGAACCCCCCAGACATATGGGCTCACAGCTGCCCCCGGCCATCCCAGCGTCATTTCTCCTCAAACCCGAACGTGCACAGACACCCGAGGCCTTTGATTTTTGTTGTTGGCGTGGAGACAGGCTTCACTCTCTACCACGGCTGTGCAAAGCCGTCTTGCCTTGGATGAGTGACAGCAATGACAGAGCCACCCCGGCCCCCACCCCCACCTCACCGCCTCTTTCTTCCCTTGGTGATGAGTCAGTCTGGGCCAGGGACTTAAAGAGCATTTTCCGCTCCTTTTCACAGTGTGACTTGTTCCTTTTGATCCTCACCCTTGAGAGTAAAAAAAAAAGTACATATGGCTTTTCTCTTCCCCAGAGGCAGCAAGTAAAATCATATACTAATTTCACCCCTTCTTTTTTTTTTTTTTTGCTGTATTTCACCCAAAATGAAATAAAATCAGGCTTGGAACCCCACAGAGGAGAGAAAGCAGAAAAAATGTGTAGAGAAAGGAGCCTCTGAAGGCCGATGCGTATTCAGACGGTTTGAGGCGCGGTCTTTGAAACTTAGGAACGTTCCAAACTGGAGTCTTGTCTTTTGGAATTAAAATAATGACGGAAGATAGATATTATTGTATCCAACCGCTAAGCCACATGAGCTAGTTATAGCGGAGCGTCGTCCTATAAAGGAAAAATGAGATCCTAAATAAGAAATAAAAAGTTAACATAGGGGAAATCGTTACGTAATTTCAGGATGATAAACTCCTGTGCCATGTGCTGGCAGGCTTACTAGCAGGCATTTCGGATTTCACACGAAAATCAAAGCGGCAAGAATCTCTGCAGGGCTGTCGCTCAAAGCCAGGCAGATACAGGCTCCCCAAGGCTGCAGTCTAGAAGGAGGATAAAGTGATCGGGTCGCCATAAGTGAAAGCGAAACGACAACTGTGTCAGGTGGCCCCTGCCCAGCTCCCAGCACCCACTCACCCAGACTCTTTGCTGTTATTCTATCGAGGATAGGACAGACAAGTCGGACCCGCAGAAGAAATGCAACTCCGCGTGTTGGTAAAACACCCCTTAGGAACGCCACTGCCGTGAGATGAACTGGAATTGAGGAAAGAGTAATGTCCTAGGCTGGGACTTGGACGCTGCAGTCATACAGAGATGCGGGGTGACGCGGGCGCCCTGTCTTTGTGTGACAGAGGAGACAACTTCTGCGGGGCAGAGTGAGGTGCACTTGCTGGTTCTTGGGGTTCGGTTTCTTTCTATCTGAGAAATGGGCTCGTGTGCGATCTCCCAGGCCCTCACCTGTTCAAAAACCACAAGAATTCCACCAGAGTCGCCGAGGACTGGTGCACTGGGGGGACAGGTGCAGAGGGTGGCGTGCTGCCCGGGGTGTGGGGAAGGCCACCTGGGGCACAGGTGTGCCAGGAAGAGAGGGTCGCGTGCTTAGCGTGAGAGGGGCCGGAGAGCAAGAAGGTGGTGCTGTGGATCCCAGTCCCCTCCCCGTCGAGTCCTCATCCGTGCACTCCACAGATGTTTTTACTGTTGGCCGTGGCCGGCACTGTGCCAAGTGGCAGAGAGTAGACACAGCCCCGTGGGGCTTACGGTCTGGAGGGGAGGTAACGTGCTTGGGCCACTGTACGTGGGGGAAAAATACCACCTGTGCTAGTTGCTACCAAGGAGAACAGCTCGGGATGCTCTCGGCTCTGCAAGCACATGACCAGGCAGCAGGGACGTCCCTGGAGACACATCTCCCAAGCCCGTCTTTGAAGGAGGAGTCTCGTAGCAAACAGGCGTGCTTGGGTGTGCGTGTGGGTGTGTGTGTCGCGCACACGTGCATCATATCAGTGGGGGTGTCAGTGGACCCGTGATAGCACTGCAAACACGTCCAGAGGCCAGGACCCAGGAAGAGCCTGGGAGATGGAAGGAGGTGGCAGGCAGTGACAGCGACAGAGCACAGGGGGCGAGGCTTGTCCCACAGCCTCTGCGTGTCTCCCGAGCACGCGGTGACGCCAGGTGGCAGCGTGCTCACCTAAGCGCCTTTCCCCATCCCTTCCCCCTCTGACCAACCGCTGGCTGCGTATTACGTTGGCATCGTTACGTTAGCACACACGTTTAGGTCTACTGGAGTCCCGCCTTCTCACTTCCCAGCTGTGTGACACTGGCAAAGTTGCAAAATCTCTCTGTGCTGTCCATAAAGTGGGAAGAAGAAGAATGCCCGTGCTGTCAGGATGCCCTGAGGAGGGACGCACGGGTCGGTGTTTGTAAAGGGCGTGGAAGGGTGCTTGACACGTGTTTGCCCAATGCCATAATCCTATCGCGTTTGTTCACTTCCTAGTCCCTCCCTCCCTCATAGCGTCCCTGCAGAAGCCGGGCGAGGACAGGCAATTGTCTCTGGGCCGCCGCAGCCACTCGTGGCAGGTGCCGAGGCCCCGGCTTTCCTGAGCCCGACGGGACAAGCAGGTGCTGTTTGCAGGGCGGCTGAGGGGAGGGGCACCACACGTTCCCAGGGCCGGGCGTCTCTGCAGGGGTGTGACGGCCGGCCGCGTTTTCTCTTCCAGGAGGCGGAGATCCTGAACACGGCCATCCTCACGGGGAAGACGGTGGTGGTCCCGGTGAAGGTGGTCTCCGTGGAGGAGGACGGCTCGGTGGCCGAGCTGCTGGAGCCCCTGGAGTGCAGATCGTCCGACGAAGACGTGATCAAGGCAAGTTGACTCCTCCCCGCCCCCGCCCTGCAGAGCCCACGTGTGTCCCCTGTCGGCTCTGACGGCCACTGGCCGGCGGGGACCTTGTCCCGCCACTCGACTCTGGAGATTGTCCCCGGCACGAAACTGGAGCACAGTGACAACCGCTCTGCACGGTGCTGACGCCGGGTCTGTGAGGTCTCCTCTAGACCCTGCGCCCTCTCGCGCCCTGGGTTCCAGCCACACCGGGGCCTCTGCCGGTCCTCTAACAGGACGGTGACCTCCCTCTCTGCTCACCTGAGCTCTTCCTCTCACCTGTGCGGCTGGCCCCTCCCTCACTGCTCACAGAGCCTGTCCTGGGCAGCGTTGGGGAAATCTTCACACCCACATCCCTGCTGAATTTTTGTTCGTTTATTTATTCCCTCATATACTACATATATTTTATGTACTTATTATATCCACGGTTGGTCTGACGTCCCCACTGCGTATAAGCTCCCCAGTGGCAGTGCTGTTGTGACTCGCCTGTTCACTGCTGTGTCCCTATCACCTACAACAACACTAGTGTTAAAAGAAAAACCTAAGACAAATTCAATTTAACGGAGTGTAACTGAGCACAGAGCGGTTTGAGAACTGGGTGGTCCCCCCCCAGGACCAGGATGGGTTCAGAGCCTCCAGGGCTGCCGCGTGGCTGGACAGCACTCATGGGCAGAGGGGGAAAGTGACGGGCAGGACACAGAAGTGAGGGACAGAAGCAGCCGGATTTGGCTGCAGCTTGGCGACTGCCACATGGGTGCAGTTGGCCGTCTGTGATGGGCACAAGAGCAGGTCACGGCCTGTCTGCACGTCCAGTTAGGTGACAACTCGAAACCCACCTTGTGCGCAGAGAACCCTTTAGGCCACACTTTTAAAAAAGAATGTCAGGAGGCAGCTTTGGGCTAAACTTAACACGAGGCACACAGTAGTTGCCCAACTGATGTTTGTTGATCGAAGGAGCGATGCAGTAATGGACAGGAAACACAAGAGAAGACACGACTAAATGGCTTAAGGTTTCCCAGGGAGGTAGCACCTGCAGGTGCGCAGGCGTGCAGCCCGCAGAAGGGCAAGGCAGGAAGGGACATTGCAGGCAGACGCGTTGCCAGGAAACGGGGTCGGAGGAGATGTTCCTGGTGCATGTGGTCACAGCACCAGGTGCAGGAGTGGCCATGTGACTCCGGGTGGCCAATCAGAGCCCTGCATCATTCTGGACGTGCCATTGGCTCGGGGATGGACGCAGGATCCAATCAGAGCCCGCGAGACGCAGTCCTGAAGACTTCGCAGGAACCCCTGGGAAAGAGGCGTCTCCCCGTTGGCTGTGCGGGTGACTCGTGGCCCCACCCTCAGACCCACAGGGGGAAGCAAAGGAAGTTGGCAAACCTGACCGGGCTGAGTTTCCCGTCAGCCGCCAGGCTGCGCAGCCTGGCGCACGACTTAACAACTAGCCCCGCGGCCTGCGCAGGTGTCCCGGCGCCGCCCTGCACGGCACAGGTGCGCGCAAAAGAGCCACCTGGCGCGTGTGACGTTCTGCTGTCATTTGGAGGCCCCAGAGAAGGAAAGCCGCCGAGGGATTCTCGCAGAAAGTGTCACCTGCACCGGCCCCTGGAAACCAGGCTTGGAGCCGGGCAGGTGCACTTGGGAAGCCTCCAGTCTTGGATTTTGTTTGTTTGGTTTTGAGACAGAGTCTCGCTTTGTTGCCCAGGCTAGGGTGAGTGCCGTGGCGTCAGCCTAGCTCACAGCAACCTCAAACTCCTGGGCTCAAGCAATCTTCCTGCCTCAGCCTCCCAAGTAGCTGGGACTACAGGCATGCGCCACCATGCCCGGCTATTTTCTCTCTTTATATTAGTTGGCCAATTAATTTCTTTCTATTTATAGTAGAGACGGGGTCTCGCTCTTGCTTTTGCTCTTGCTCATGCTGGTCAAGAACTCCTGACCTTGAGCAATCCGCTCCCAGTCTTGTTTATTTGTATCCACTTTCCCTTCTTTTCCCCAGCCAGAGGCCCAAGAGCTCGCTGTGTGGCCTCCTCCCTGCCCAGGAAACCCGCAGGGGAGCTCGTTCACCCTGAGCCGCAGATCACATCAAGGCCCCTTATCTTGTGCCTCCCGGGGGCGCTTGTTTATTTTAGGGCAACAGATCCTCCCTGGCAGCCCTTCAGATGTTAGCAGTAAGGTCCCTTGCGAGTCACAGGGATTGGAGTTAACAGAAAGTCCCACCCACACCGACTCCGGTAAAAAAAAAAAAAAAAAAAAAAAACTGGCATGAAGGAGAAAGAAAGACAGAGGGCGAGCAAGCATTATTTAGAGACACAAAAAAAACAGACCGAACAAACACTCTGTCTCCCTCCCTCTCTCCCCTCCTGCTTACGCTGGTTCTCCTGTTTCGTGGGGATGCATTGCCTTCTCACAGAGCTTGCTCCTGTGCCAGCCGGGTGGCCCCTCGCAACTGGCTCAAGTCCGGTAGAAAAAAGGTGTCAGCTTGCTACGACGCTCCTGTGTACATTCTGGAATGTGTTCCTAGGGAGCCCGGTGAGGTCCCCTCCTTATTCTTGAGCCGAATCACCACAGCCCAGGGACCCAGCGTCACTGGTTGCCCCAAAACCTACATCACATGAACTCAGTGAGGAATCTGGGGAGGGGGATCCCCGAGTCTGATCTGTGTATCGGGTTACCCCAGAATAGGGCCACCCACTCTCCGGAGCAAAAAAGCACGCACGTCCCCTGCAGCCACTGAAGAGTGGGAGAGCTTTGGGGACTGGGGACCCTTTAGGAACCCACAAAGCCGCATGGTGGGGCGGCTGGCCCGTGCTAAAGCCACACGCACTTCACACGCTGGGAAGAAGCCTGATTTGGCCTCGGGGGTTCATTAACAGGTCCCGAATAAGCCCGTATCTACCTAATGTCTTGGAAATATCCACCGGTAATCAAAGGAAGATCTGGCGCCTACCTCGTTAGGGCTGAGCTCCGGTGGACTTGTTTTTATCTGGTGACGTTCCAGCGGCATCACGGGCCACCCCTGCGGCTCTGCCAGGGACGTGCCAGTTGGAGATGGGGTGCCACAAAGTTTGACACCGTCTCTGAAGGCGGATCAAAGCAGAGGTTTCCTTTCTGTGAGGGCAGCAAACCGCCCTGGCGGGGAGCAGTGTGATTTCGGGGCTGGGAGTGCGGCGCTTAACAAGCCGGGGGGACAGCTGGGAGGAAGAGAAGACTGCAAAGGCTAGGGAGCTCTTCTGCAGCTGTTGCCAGCCTCCCTGGCGGAGCGCTTTGGTGTTGGGGCCTGATGTCGGGTGGCCTGCTCTTTCTTCACGGCAGCCTTGTTCCCGAGCAGGAGGGGTGCAGCGGGGGTTCCCGCCACGCTGGGCAGCTCTCTTTCAGCAGTGCAGCCGGCCCTCCAATCACCCGGACGGCCACAGAGACACCCCGGGCGGCGGATGCCTAATTAGTCGCTCCTTCCTTCCCCGGCTGCAGAGCCTGTACTCCTGCCTCCCTGACCGGCTCTCCTTGTCCCCACCCCAAGAGTGGAGCCAAATGGCTTCGAATATCTGGCCAAGGAACAGAGAGGTGGCAGGGGTTTTTCCTGCTCCCTGATCCCCGCTGCCTGCTTTGAAGGCTTTTCTTGTGTCGGCTGCAGGGAAGAGCGCTGGGGAAGCAGGCCGACCACGTCCAAGACAGCGGTCTCCGGGCGTGAGCTCGGCGCTGCGGCGCACTAATGCAAGAGCCTCACTCATTATCGGGGAGCTGGTTTCTCTCCGGTGTTTCATTCGGCAGGGGGGACGGGTCAGACTTCCTGCAGTTGTCACCCTCTGCAACGCCTCGTGCAGGCAAAGGGGGCTCATTTTGAAAGCAAATCTCCAACACTGGGGTGGAAGTTGTGGATGCAGAGTGGGGCGATCGATGGCAGCCGCTCTAGATACGGGGGCTGGCCGTGTTTGTCGTCATCACCCGGTGGACACCCAGGAGGGACTCGTGGTGGGGAGAGTTAGGGGACAATGAAGTTGAGCGATCAAGCTGGGCTGTGTCACATAAACGTTGCACGTACGTCTGGCATTATTATTATGTTTTTAATCATAGCATCTTATTTGGACAGCAAATAGTGGTGTTCCTCTCCTGGAGTTGCCTTCCTGAGGTTGGAATGTTTCTCTTGCTTGATTGGAAGTGAATGTTTTAGCTGATAAGAAATAAGATTTCTGTTTCCCGTACATACATAGGCCCATCTTGTAGCTTTCCTCTTCTTCCTTATCAGTCTGTTTCTAAAATCTGACGTATGATTTTGAATTGCTTGTGGGTCATCAGACCCCTGGTGCAGATTAAAGGCAGGTAGGAGGGTTATAGCAATGATAAGAGTAGGAATAGCAATGATTTAATAGTTATTGGATGCTGACTTCATAGCAGGCAAGCATTTGCCACTTTAGTCCTTGCAACAACCTTATGGAATAGGTAAATTTTTTTTTATCATTTATAGCATAATACACTTATTTTCTTTTTTTCTTACTTTATTTCATTATACATTGACAATGTATAATGGTTTATATTTGTGGGATAGAATGTGATGTTATGATTTATGAATGCAACGTGGAATAATTAAATCAAGCTGATTAACATATTTTTCACCTCAATTATTTATCATTTTTATAATGAACACTTGAAATTTACTCTGTTAGCACTCTTGAAATGTGTGTGTGATATATTAATACTATTGTTAACTATATTCAACACACTGTGCAATAGATCTCAAAAAAAAAAAAATCTGAAAGCTTATTCCTCCCATCTACCTGAGGCTCTGTACCCTGTGTCCGCCATTCTCCCGCCCTCCCCGCGCCAGCCTCTGTAACCACAATTCCACTCTCTGACTCTACGACGACAGCAATAGGTTTTCATTCCACATACAAGTGAGAACATGTGGCATTTGTCTTTCTGTGCCTGGCCTATTTCTCTTAACATGACATTCTGCAATTCCATCCATGTTGTTGCAGATGGCAGAATTTCCTTCT